TCCTTCCTAGTTGTGCATCTCAACTTGGAGTTTCTTGTTTCCTCACCCTATATCTCTAAGAGTCTCTTCATTATTTCTCACGGACAATTCTGGGCCAAGTTTCCCTTGTGTCTTGGAGAACGGGCTATGCAAAGTCGTTCAATATGCTCCTGGCGCTAAATTCCCACTGTAGAATCCATTCTTTACCGGCTTCCTCTGCTCCATTCTACTTGTATTTTGTTTGTTTTTTGGAAGGGCCACACCTGGCAATGCTCAGGAGTTACTCCTCGATTCCAGTTACCGATTATGACTAATAACCTCGGGCTCAGCGATTTCATTCAGTTCTTTCTCTTCTCTGAAGGGATCAACATAGAAACTGCTTCCTGAATCGGGACTTCAGAATAGTATGCAGAACAGAGCCAGTGACTTGGACAAGTAACCCAAGACAGAAATAGAAGTCATAAAATGTGGGGAAGGAGCGGAAGAGCTGTCTGATTCTTTAGGACGAACCGACAAGAGAGTGCTTGGTGCAAGGAGCAGAATGTTTTCCTCTTTGGTTTTGGGACCTAGTGGAGGGCGGCAAAGGAACAGTAGCTTTTGGCCACTTAACAGGCAGGCAGTACATCATGTCGTTTGTGATTTTAGGACAAGAGGTTGGGAAACAGATTGTTAGTGGTGTGTCTTGGGTGCTTGTAGCTGCTTTTGACACAATAATGCAGGAGATGGGCTTCAAAAAGAATGGGCTGTTTCGTAAGTGGAGATGAATGGGAAAGAGAGAATCCATTAATACCAGAATTAGTAGAGACGAGAGTAGCAACTGCATCGCTCATGTCCAACTAGTAAAGGATAGAAATTGAGAAATGGCTCGTGTCTCAGGGCTGATTAAGTCTAACTCAGCCTCAGGACAGAGAACAGATAAAGGGAATGAGTAGCGTGGCACCCTCAAAGTGCTCTGCTGGATAAAATGACTTGGGATAAATCGATGAGAGCATCGTTCTCTAGGAAACGCGTGCTTTGCTCAAGGTAGCTAGGCAAGTGTGCCAAGAGAGAGAGAGAGAGAGAGAGAGAGAGAGAGAGAGAGAGAGAGAGGCAAGCCCACCTACGTGCCGTGGCTGGTATGCACAGCTGGCTAGAATTGGATAGGTAAAACACTAGCAGTTAAATCCAATTTTTTTTTCTTTTTGGGTCACACCCGGTGATGCTCAGGGGTTACTCCTGGCCCATGCACTCAGGAATTACTCCTGGCAGTGCTCGGGGGACCATATGGGATGCTGGGAATCGAACCTGTGTCGGCCACGTTGGCTGCGTGCAAGGCAAACGCCCTACCTGCTGTGCTGTCGCTCCAGCCCCTAAATCCAAGTTTTTAACGCATTAACTCCAGAGAGTACCTGCAGTGGTTCACACTTGAATGTGGTTTAAAGAACAGAAATGGCAGCTCTGGCGTCAATGTGTTTTAAAGAGAGGTGTGTGCAGGGATGCGGGGGTCGGGGACGGGGCTGGAACAATAGTATAGCAGGTAAGGTGCTTGCTTTGCACAGAGCCAACATGGGTTTGAGCCCTGGCATCCCGTGTGATCCTCTATCATTGCCAGGAGTCTTGAATGCAGAGCCAGGAATAACCCCTGAGCTTCACTGCATGCGGCCCAAAAGTTCAAATTGAATTAAAAAATTTAAAAAGAGAAAGAAAACTGTAGGGTCAGAGACAGTACAGCAAGAATGGCAAGCAAGATGTCCTGTGTGCAGTCAATCTGGGTCCAATCTCCAGCACTGCATAGAGTCCCCCAAACATTGACTGATCCTGAGTGCCTGGAGTGATCCCTGAGTACAGAGCCAGGAGTAAGCTGGGAACACCGCTGGGCATGGCCCCAAACCAACAATTTTTTAAAAAAAAAAAAAAGAGGGAGATGTTTAGAGATGATTCACCGGCCTGGTTAAAAGGCTATGAATGCTCAAGAACAAGTTTGGGGCTCTGAATTTCTGTGGCCATGAAGTAAGGAGAGAAAGCTACTCCGCCTGCAAGGAGAATTTTATTTCCTTATGTGGCCAGTGAAGCGTAATTGAGAAGAAAAGGGCCTTTCAAGTCAGGAGCCAAGAACAAGTACTGGCGGCTAATCTGTGCTTGAACTTCATCAAGGACTATTTTCTTCTCTTTTCTTGGGTTTTCGGCCACCTGTGCTCAGGGGTTACTCGTGGCTCTGTGCTAAATGATCACTCCTGGCAGGCTTGGACGAGGACCCTATGGGACGCCAAGGATTGAACTGAGGTCAGCTGCATGCAAGGCAAGCTTCCTATCCCCTGTATCATTACTCTGGCCCCTAACTTTGCAGTTCTAAGAACCCGTAGTGGTTGTGTGCCTCCCAATCTTCCGGATGAGTCACAGGGCTTATTTCTGTCTTTATCCTCTCTTTGTCTTGTCATTTCACATTAAGCATAGATGTGCAAGGCAGTAGAAGGCTTTTATTTTATTTTTATTTTATTTAAATTTCATTAGTCTTTGGAGCAAGAGGTATTATCTGGGCATGGTACAGAAATGATCGTGAGCACAGACGATGGCCACAGTGTGTTAGAGAAAGTTGTTGTACACTTGAACATTTTCAGATTACTCCCATAATATCCCTGCCGGTCGCAGATGACATCACACATGAGATAATCTGGGGAGAGGCCAGTTCTAGAGAACATAAGGGCGGAGCCGGAGGAAACGAACAGGGGTCACGGTGCTTGTCTCGCAGGTGCCAACCTGTGTTTGTTCTCCAGCCCCACCTATGGTCACCTGAGCACTACCAGAAGTGATCCTGAGCGCAGAGCCAGGAGTGAGTCGACCCTGAGCATTGTGGGTGGCCCAACCCCCCAACCCTCCACACGCATACGTGCAAGGAAAATGTGGTCAATGATGATTAAAGTCAAGATATTAAAAGAAACGAAGGCAAAGAATGGGAAATGAATAGCCAGGAAAGCAGGAGGAACGGGAAAGAAAAGAGTACCCAATTTGGTCAACCACAGCAAAGGCCAAAGAATACAAACTGCCGGAAAGACGCTGTTGAGTTTGATCACAGAGAGAAGATACTGTTCAAGAACAAATGGGCTAGGGGCTGGAGTTATAGTACAGCAGGTAGGGTGCTTGCCTTGCATGTGGCCGACCTGGGTTCGATCCCCGGCATCCCATATGGTACCCCCAGCCCCACCTGGAATGACCCTTGAGCACAGAGCCAGGAGTAAGTCCTGAGTACTGCTGGATGTGACCCCCCAAACAAAACAAACAACAAATAACAGTTGGGCTCATCCTTTCCAAAACTAAATACTTTCCAGAGTATTTCCGCCTCTTTTTTATTAATTCAGGTGTTATTTAGTCCAGCAAAGAAAGATCCATTAAACATGAATTCTAGGCCAGGTACTGTGCTAGGCCTCTAGAGGACATAAACACAACAAGACCAACAGAACTTGGGTCTGTGGGTCTCCCCACCCAAGCCAACAGGGAAAGTTACAAAGCACAAACTTATGCCCCTGCAAAGTTAGGTCTTGGCATTTTATGAGGGTTGGTACTGATTGGGCCTCTGAGCACATTCAATAAATCAAGGGTGAATATGCGAGTCCAGAGGTCAATGAGACTTTAATATCTTGCTCTGAGTTGGCAGAAAGCAAAAGGGAGAGTGTAGTACACATTATTGCATCACCTCGGTCTGTCCCTAAGTTAGTCACAGATGAAATTCTGGGTTTTTCCAAGAAAATGTGTTGTGAGCTCAAAGGCAGGCAACTGAATGAGATGGATTCTCTCAGAACATCAGAAGAATAGTCACTTAAAAACCTCTGAACTGGACCTGCCATAGTATTCACTCTATCACAGTCCCTTTGAGTAACACATTGTGCTTGAATCACAGTAAAGTGGGCAGTTAGTGTTGGAAAGGTCAGTCTTAAAATGAATGGGAGCCTGGATGGAGACAGGGGCTCTGAATGAACGGAGCCTGGATGGGGACAGAGGAGGAACACTTTTCCAATAAGAAAATGACCCTATGTTTCCATTTAACACAGGGTGCATTTCGTTTTACAATCGCTGCTACTGTTTTAGGGAAAAATCTGAAATTAAAATGGCACGTTATCCTTGATGCCATAAAGGGAAGAAAAAAAAAAACCAAGATTATTTAAAGAAACCCAGACCATCACACATTAAAAAAAAAACTAAGTATTTTAAAAAATCATTAATCAAATTCGTGAACAATCATTTTCTACTTCATAATTAGGATTTTTCAATATCTGCGTGGGGAGACAGTGATGGGAATAGGTCAGCAGCTTCCATCAGACTAGCTTTTGGGGTCTGTCCTGACAGCACGAGGCAGGAGGAGAAAAACAAGCTCCAAGGAGTTTACACCCGAGACAAAACACGCTCAGGGGACACTGAGCTCAGCCTGGACTCTCCCAGTGATGCCATCCGAAGTCCCTGGAGACCTGGGGTGGGTGGCGCAAGGAGGGAGCCGACCAGGCTCTTGCTCCAACGCAGGTCATCGCCCCGACAACCCCCGCAGCCCGTTTCTCCCCCCGGTCCCCAAAAGGGCCGGAGGCGGCAGGTTCCACGTTTCCAACCGACTCTGCTCCAACGACACTGTGCAAATTGCAGAAGCAGAGGGTCCCTGAACCCTCGCCCGAGTCAAGGCATTTCCCCGCCACGAGCAGGAGGGGAGAGCCACGGGGGGAGTGGGGGGGTTTCCCGGCGAGCGTGGTGGCGGCGAGGTCAGCTCCCAAGCGGCCCGAGCCGGGGACCTGCGCGCCCACCCGCCGCCACCAGGGCCCAGAGGCGACCGCGCGGCCGGGGCAGCGCCAGCCGCCAGCAGCCACGTGGCTCAGCCCGGGAGCCGGGGGGCGGGGCGGGGCCGGTCGTGGGCGGGGCCGCGGGCGGGGCGGGCCGGTCGTGGGCGGGGCCGGGGGCGGGCCCGGCGGGCGGGGCGGGGCCTCGCGGCCTGCGCCTGCGCGCGCGCGCGGTGGGCCGGGCGGCCGCCTTAAAGGCGCGGGCGGCGCGGGCCGGGCCCCGCATTGCGCCGGCGCAGAGGCTCGCGACCCGCGTGCGGGCTGCGGGCGGTGCGGGGCTGCGGCATGGACGGCTTCAGCAGCGAGGAGCGCGCCGCGTCGCTGTCGGCCGAGTACCGCGTCTTCTTCAGTGAGTGCGGACCCCGGCCCGTCCGTCCATCCATCGCCCGCCCCGCCCGGCCGGTCCCTGCGCGGGGGCGGCGGGCGCCGCGTCCCCGGGGGCGGCGGGTCGCGCGGCCCCGGCCCCGCGGATCTGGGGGCTTCGCAGGGCCCGGGGCGGGGCGGGCCGCCGCGGGGACCCTCGGGCGCACCCGGGAGGCGCGGCCCAGCTCGCTCCTCCCTCCCCTCCCTGCGCAGGCGGGGAAACTGAGGCCCGGAGCAGCCGCGGCCGCTGGGGACGCCGCTTGTGGTTCAGCTGGTAATCGATCGGCTGGTATTGATCGGCATCGAGCCGCGTGCAGCGGGGCGGCGCGGGTGGGGCTCGGCCCTCGCGGGGCGCCCGGCGCGCGTGGGGGGCGCAGCAGGCCCGGGAGCCGCCGCAGCCCAAGGGCTTGTCCGTCTTGCGTCCACTCCGCCCCAGCCACGGGGGGTCGATCGATGGGGATGCCGGGGGCGGGGGGCGCAGAAAAATGCGTCCCCGAGGCCTCTCTGTTGCTCATCCCTTGGCCGGTGCTGCTCGGAAGGAGGGGGGCAGGTGCCGGGGTTCTTGGAACACTGCCCGGATGATGGAACCCCCCTGCAAAAGCGACCTGGTGTGGGTGGGCGGGCGCGAGGAAATGGGGCGCGACCCCCGAAGTGGACCACCACCTTGAGGATGAGGTTGCAGTGGGAATCCAGGAAGGGACGCGCTCCCCGGCTCGTTTCTAATTCACCGGCGAGGGCTGGTGCAGGAGCTCCTGATGACTAATTCACAGAACTGATTGAGGAACCGGGCCAGGAGAGCAAACGTACTCCTTGACTTTGGCACTGCATGCAGTAACAGCGTTTTATCAGATGGAACTCTCTGGAACTGTAGAAAGGTCAATAATTAGAACTGACTCTAATTAAATGGATTTTTTTCCCCTTTAGTTTGCAATGCCCGGAATGAAGCCCAGGACCTCACATACACAGATGCAAGAAGCGCCCTATGGCTCAGCCGCATCCCTGGACTCCAAACATTTTTTTTTGGTTTTGTTTTGGGGCCGCGTCCAGCAGTGCTTGAGGCTCACAAGTGGTTCTGTGCTCAGGGATCACTCCTGGCTGGCCCATACGGGGCTAAGGGGCTGCATATCAGCCAGGCAGGTGCCCTACTTGAGTCCTCAACTTTTTTTTTTTTAATTACAAATTTCTTAGATTCAAACTAAAAAAAAAAAAAGGAGAAGCAGCACTATGTAATGTGCATGTGGCTGGCCTGGGTTCGATCCCCATCACCACATATGGTCCCTTGAGCACAGAGCTGGGAGTGAGACCCGGGCACTGCCAGGTGTGACCCCCAAACCAGAGAAAAACAACCGAACCAAGCATAAAAACCCCAAACCCTATGTACACAAGCTAATCCCTTTCTTTTTTTTTTCTTTTTGGGTCACACCCGGTGATGCTCAGGGGTTACTCCTGGCTCATGCACTCAGGAATTACTCCTGGCGGTGCTCGGGGGACCATATGGGATGCTGGGAATCAAACCCGGGTCCACCATGTTGGCTGCGTGCAAGCCAAATGCCTTACCCGCTGTGCTATCGCTCCAGCCCTGCTAATCCCTTTCAAACTGGTAGTAGGTTGGGGTTTAAAGTCACAGTCCATGTGAAGGCACCCACTCAGGGGTCAATTTCGCCTAATCTGCTTTGGGTTTTAAATGTGAAGGCCGGTAAAGTGGACAGAGCCTTAGATTGCCTGATGAGTTAGCAAAGACGTTTCAAAATTACTTTTCTGGATATGGTAGTTAAGTCTCTAGACTACACAAATTACCTGGGGAAGTGTTACAACTTGATTATCCTTAAGAAGAAGAACCAATGTGGGTATGTCTTCTTGTCACTCGTTTGAATCAAAGGAGTATTATAAAATTCAGCCGATTGGTCCCCTCCCTCCTCTCTAAACCCAGGTATCCTATTAGTCCTGTAAACTCTTAACCCATAGAAGATCAGTCCCAAACAATTCGATAGCCCCTTGCTTATCAGGCGCTAGGCCGAGGGCTGCAAAGGTGCTCGGGGCCAGGCTGACAGTTCTAGCAGTTCGTCCAGTTAAAGAGATGTGGGACTGGAGCCAAGTACCAGTACTTTCCTTATACGTGACTGACCCAGGGTCGATCCCGGGAGTGCCACCCGGAGTGATGCGGCGCCAGGCGTACCCCCTGGGCATCACCAGGTGCGGTCCCAAAACAAACCAAAATAGGATTCGTAGGATGAAAACTAAACCTAGCGTTGCAGAAAGGTGAAAGGTTGACGAGTACAACCAGTTCTTCTGATACGGGAATACAATCGTAGTATAAACCATGCCTTCTTTATCATTCTGGGGAGTGCTGTTGATAATGCAGGAAACTGTGGGAGCCAAGGGTATAGAGAAATCTTAGTACCCTTCAGTTTTATTGTAAACAAAAACTACTCTTTAAAAGAAATCTTTTCCAAACGTGCACTTCAGGCCAAGGAGGTCGCTGAAGAGTCGAGCACATACTTCGCTTTCAGGAGGTCCAGATTCAGACCCCAGGACCTCATGGTTCCCCAAGCACTGAACAGGGAGTGACCCCGAGCACCGTTGGGTGAAACCCCCCATCCCTCAAAAAAACATACTTCACAGAACTTAGCCCTCCAAAGTAATAACTTGTTTTATTTTGCAGAAAATGGAAAAGGACAATATATATCTCCATTTCATGATGTTCCCATTTACGCTGATAAGGTAAGGTCCCTTATCTCTTAAACATTGTCTCTTAAATCAGCCTTGGCCAGTGCTCAGAATGTTTCACTGTGCTGTGAGTGAGACATCAGCTTCAAGTTCAAATTATTTGGTGAAAGAAGCAGTTATATAAATTGGAGAAGGCGTGGAGGTACAGAGAAGCAAATGTTTGAAAACTGCATTGGTTAAAAAAAAAATATATATATATATATATATCATTGGTCTTTCTGCCATGTGTAACTTGGCACTGAAGTCTTGGTATTTCACTAGTGGTTTCAAAATTAACCAGGTAACTGACACAAAATTTGGGCTCTGGAATATTTGTTAAACAGTGAAAACACAGGGAGGATAGTAAAGGAGTTATGGCACTTTCCTGGCTTGAGGCCGGCCCCCAGTTTAAGCACAGAGCTGGGGGTGGTCCCCAAGCTCTTGGATGTGGCCTAAACAGCCCTCCCGTTGGCCCCCGACCCCAAAATAAACCAAAAAAAAAAAAAGTGAAAGTGGTGTTAGTAAAGGTATGTGCACACAAACTTCTGAAAAGAAATGCCAGTCCCCACACCCACACTTGAGCTTAAGAAATCTAATGTTAGCACAAATAGGTGTAACCGTAATTGCTAAGAAGCCCTCCCTGAGGAAGAAATGTCCGAAGCTCTGTATTCCTACCAACTTGTAGACTTGCCAGTGACTTTTTTTTTTTCTTTTTGGGTCACACCCGGCATTGCACAGGGGTTACTCCTGACTTATGCAGTCAGAAATCACTCCTGGCGGTGCTCGGGGCACCCTATGGGATGCTGGGAATCGAACCCGGGTTGGCCGTGTGCCAGGCAAACGCCCTACCTGCTGTGCTATTGCTCCAGCCCCGCTGGTGACTCTCGATGGTCTTATTTTCATGTTTGTCTTTGTTTCTGTTTCCTATTCTTTTCAGAAAGTGCATCTCTTATTTGCAGAAGTGCCAATTGTTCTCTATCCCTTCCAGTCTCCTTCCAGCAGACACCTCTCTGCATCCGGGATCGGCCACTAGTTCACAGGACACGTGTCCGATTCTCTGTCCTGAAAGAAAAGAAAAGGTTTCTTTTCTCTCAGCAGGAGATCTTGACTTTTGAAGGCACATTTTTATTTTTAACCGGTGAAAGCTATTAGGTTGTTAATCTTCCTGAGCTAGATCTTGCCACCTAATCTCTGTGTGGATCACTCTCTTAATAGCATCTAGGTCAATCGTAGGGATGAGCTCGCACCCTTGTTCCTGCCAGGCTTTGCTGTTGTTCTGTGCTTGACCCGCGAGGTGAGGAAAGAGGGTCATCGTGCTCCACCTGGAAGTTTTCCTGCAATTGGGTACTAACTTTTGGACAGCGACCAGGAACCAAACTTGCTTCCCTGGGGTTGCCTCAGGAGCCCTTACTGGAGACCACCAGTTATGTGCCCCCAAGACCCGAGGGGCCGCTAATTGGCATGTGCTCTCCTGGGGGGCTCTTGAGCTTGTATTAATTCAGATTTGTTAACGTTGATGGGAAAGCAGGCTCCTTCTTGTTGAACCGATGTGTAGGTGGCTGAATTACCTGATTACCTGGTGTGTGACTAGTATGTGTATCCAAGGACCTGACAGTTACCTCAGACCCGGCCTTGCTATACAGATATGTTCAGAAAGGAAACTGTGTTCTTGACATAGGTGTTCTTTTTTGGTGTTTGTACGTCTTTGTCTGTTGGAGCCGACCTTACAGACTCATGGGTTATGAACATCAGAACCTTATTGTTTACTTAGACATGTGGAGTCTGACTGCCCAGGACAAGGGCATAGTAGAACTGGGTGCGGGCCTGTTTCTGGGGGAGACATTTTACTGTGTAAAAAGTAGAAGACGGGGCTGGAGAGATAGCACAGCGGGGAGGGCGTTGGCCTTGCACGCGGCCGACCCGGGTTCGATTCCCAGCATCCCATATGGTCCCCTGAGCACCGCCAGGAGTAACTCCTGAGTGCAGAGCCAGGAGTAACCCCTGTTCATCGCCAGGTGTGACCCCCCAAAAAAAAAAGTAGAAGAGGTTTCTCCGTGGAGCTTCTGTTGTAAGCCATTAATCCCTCTCTGGGTTCATGTTTAGTCATTTCTCAAAGGTCCCACGTACTGACTCTGCTTCCCCTTCAACGTTTAGAATTCAGCAAAAATAAATCTGGGGTGGGAGAGAGACTGGACTTACACGTGACTGGGCTGTATTCTGGCTCCAGACCCTAAGGATAGCAACAATTGTGGTGTCTAATCTTAGTGCTATTTCCGGTCACCTCCAGGAAGAAACTGAAAGTACGCTTGGGTGTTGTGTAAAACGTCTGCGACTAGATTTCTCTGTGCCCTGAAGGTTTGTGTCCATAATCTAGGCTTATGCAAATGAAAATCCTTCCTTCATACCACATAGGTGGGCTCCAGTGCATAGCCTTGGGCACAGTTTAGCAGTGGTCTAGGCGGCAGTGATCCTTAGCACCCCAGATTCTTGCTGAGGGGCAGGAATAAATCTTTTATTTAAAGTTTAGTATATACAGAACCCCAGGGTGTGGAACCCAGATATTATTTGGGATATAGTCTAAACAGAAGATCTTAATAATTCAGGTTACAGAAGAGCGCAACTTAAAAAAAAATCCTAGTGCAATTAAGTTTGTGTAAATACGGGGCCAGAGGGAGGACAGAGGGTAAGCTTTTTCCTCACAAGCAGCCAACCTGGGTTCTATCCCTGGCACCCCATGTGGTTCCTCAAGCCCTGCCAGGAGTGAGCCCAGAGCCAAGGAGTAAGCCCTGAGCACCTCGTGGTGTGGCCCCAAACCAAAATTTAAATACAAGACTTTTCTGCTAATATCAGTCATTTGCAGGATGGTCAGGCAGGGAAGGTGCCTCTAACACAGTTTAGTCAGCTCTGTGAGGGACGGGAAAACACAGATTTGATCCCACTTTGATCTCATGGATTTGCATTTGATTTGGTAAATATGCCATAGGCATCAGCAGAGCCTGTTCTGGCCTGGATTATTTGCAGACCTGCGGGGGGAAGGAAGGCAGAGGCCAGGGCTGCCCAGAGTTTTGTAAATTGTAGGCGTGTCCTTGGTGCTGGGTCTATTTGGGGACTGAACGTAAAAACAGCTGTGTCTTCCAGCAAGAAACTATTTGACATAGCAGAAGTGTAAGAAGTTTAGAACAGAGTATGAAATTCTCAGTAGGTGCAACTTTTATCTAAATCCTTAGTTGCTCAAAGAGCGTGGCTTGATTTTTCATTTCAGAAATTCCGTGTTCTTCTAGTGCAGATCTTAAGCCCCCACATACATCTAATTTAAAAGAACCAAAGATAAATTGTATTTGTTTTGTTTTTGTTTTGCGGCTACTCGGTGGTGTTCAGGACTTACTCCTGGCTCTATGCTCAGAGATCACTCCTGGTGGGGCTCGGAGGACCATCTGGGGTGCCAGGAATCGAACCTGGGCCAGCACCCTGTACTGCCCCAAATTACACAACAGAAAAACAGAGTATCTGAAGTTTAAAATCCTTTAAGCTTCACAGAACAGAGACAACAAGAGAAGAGTCAGTTAGCTTGAAAATAAAGAGCTCCCATTATTATTATTGTCCTCCTCGTCACAGTTTGTTTTGCAAGTACCTCCTGACTCCCAGTGGGCTTCATTTCTTTTAATTAAAGGTCCAACGGGGGGCTGGAGCGATAGCACAGCGGGTAGGGCGTTTGCCTTGCACGCAGCCGACCCGGGTTTGATTCCCAGCATCCCATATGGTCCCCTGAGCACCGCCAGCTGTGATTCCTGAGTGCATGAACCAGGAGTTACTCCTGTGCATCGCCGGGTGTGACCCAAAAAGCAAAAAAAAAAAAAAAAAAAAAAAAAGGTCCAACGGTCTTTCTTTATGGGCAGGGTTAGTGGTGGTGCGTCCCTTCACTGTCGGAACGGTCCCCCTCTGAATCAGAGTGCTCACCTGGCGGGGTGGTTTCTGCTGATCCTCTTGCGGATTTTTTCTTCTGTGTGACTCTACTTTTCTCTTGCAGTGGTTCGAAGTGCCTTAACAGGTTTAAACTGTTGGGTGGTTATAATTACATAGCCACGTGTTATAATTACACATAACCGTAAGAAGCCCTTTAATTGTACTGTGTCTTGGTGAGACTGGGTTTGTTTCCTTGTTCTTCAAGTCTTTCAGCTTCCTACCAGCAGATGCCTAGATCTGTCCTCTATGTGGCAAAGTTGCCGGCTGTTATTTCTTCAAATAAGGATTCCGACTTTGGTCGGAAAATGGCTCAGAGCGCTAGAACATGAGCTTTGGATGTGGGACAACCAGGTTTGATCCTTGGTACCATCAGGCTCTTGAGTACTGGAAGTGACCCCTGAGCACTGAGGTGGAGCTCCTGAACACTATTGGGTGTGGCCCCCAGAGACACCCTCCTCCCAAACCACTGCAAAAAAAAACCCAGTATGTTCTTACTCTTCTCATAGATCTAGATATCGCCATAGAATACCAATGGCATGTTTGTCATTCTTCTCGATGTGATCCCAGATTGCTTTCAGGCTGTCTTCACTGTTCTTTATTTTTTTATTTTGGTTTTGGGCCCATACCTGGCAGTGCTCAGGGAGGCTTACTCCTGACTTGGTGCTCAGGGGTCACTCCTGCCGGTGCTCAGGAGATCAAACATGCCACCCCATGGAACCACATGCAAGGCAAAATGCCCTACCCTAACTGCATTGTTTGTTTGTTTTTCTCTTTATCTTTTTTGTTGTTGTTTTTGGGTGCCGGGGACTTCTCCTGGCTCTGCTCTCAGGAATCACTCCTGGTGGTGCTGGGGGACCCTATGGGATGCCGGGGATTGAACCCTGGGTCAGCCGTGTGCCAGGCAAGCACCCTCCCCACTGTGCTTTTGCTCCGACCCTATCTCTTGGTTTTTTTTTTTGCTTTTTTTGGGGGGGGTCACACCCGGCGATGCTCAGGGGTTACCCCTGGCTCATGCACTCAGGAACTGCTCCTGGCGGTGCTCGGGGGACCATATGGGATGCTGGGAATCGAACCTGTGTTGGCCATGTTGGCTGCGTGCAAGGCAAACGCCCTACCCGCTGTGCTATCGCTCCAGCCCCTCTCTTGTTGTTCTTGATAGTTCCTTTGTGCTGGCCTTTTTCAGTGGGTTCTGCTGTGGCTTGGTTTCCGGCCGCTTCTCTTCTCCTGTCCCCTGTGCTCTTCAGGGTAGTCGCCGTGGGGCTGAAGGGAGCTCCGTGCTGTCTGGGCTCCCTTCGTCTCTGTTGCTGTGGGTTCTCCCTGTGGGTCGTCCCTCCAGAGCATCGCGAGCTCCGTGGGTTGGAGATCTTCCGGGAGCTCGCCCAGCTCGGCTGCTTAGGCCTCCTGGGCTGTGCTGGGGCCTGGGGGCCTGGGTCTGAGCAGGTCCTCTTGGTATAGAGGAGTTTGGCATAGCTCGGATTTGGGCGGATCCGGGCATTGGCCAGCAAGCCTGGAGGCTGCTGGGTCACAGAGAGCGACTGTGGCGGGAACCCCGGCTGGGATGGCTTCAAGCTGAGGCTGTAACGGTCAGCGTGCACACGGGCGGGCCAGGGGACTCCCTGGCTGGCTGTATGAGCTTGAGTGTTCTGCTGGCCGTTTTCTGCCTAGGGACTGGGGCCCACCAGCTGGCGTGACTGTTGGGAGAGCCAACACATGGGGAGTTAAAAGATCTTTTTATTCTGCTTATTGCTGGCCTTCAGTCTGGCACAGAAACAGTCGTGCTCAGTAAATATCTGTTGGGGCAAAAAATGAATGGATGGACTCCGAGGTGCCTTGCTGGACACTTGGTGCTATCTTTGGCCAGGTTTTTTTCTAAAAAGCACCCTGCCTTCATTCAGACTTGCAGAGTCTTTGAATTAGAGTGATTTTACCCATTTTCTTCCTTTCTTTTTCCTTTTTTTGAAGTTTTGGGCCACACTCAGCAGTGCTCCGGGATTACTCCTGGATCTGCACTCAAGAATCCCTCCTCTAGGGCTCAGAGACCATAATAGGGTCCTGGGCATTGATTGCGGGTCGGCCGCATGCAAGGCAAACGCCTTGCCCACTGTACCTTAGCTCAGGCCCCTTACCCATCCTCTGAAAGACTTTTTGTGTTCCGAGTTTTTTTTTGGTTTCTTTGTTTTTTCTTAGGTTTGGAGTAATAGGATTTTTAGGTACTGTATGTAGGGTTTTTTTTTTTTTTTTTTTTGCTTTTTGGGTCACACCCGGCGATACACAGGGGTTACTCCTGGCTCTACACTCAGGAATTACCCCTGGCGGTGCTCAGGGGACCATATGGGATCCTGGGAATCGAACCCGGGTTGGCCGCATGCAAGGTAAACGCCCTACCCGCTGTGCTATCTCTCCAGCCCTTGTATGTAGTTTTAAATTTCTTCCTTGTGTTTAATATAGTTTCCAAACTCTGATTTAGTAGTTTCTGCTGTACTTGCTACTTTATTTTGGAGAGTTTATTTGATAATGTTTTCTTGAAAAAAAAAATCCCAAGAACCGCCACCTTTCCACAGTTCATCTTTCCTGTGGTAACAGCTCCATCTTGTGACCCCTTGAGATATTGCTGCCGGGCATTTCCAGGCAGACTTTTCTTTCAATCACAGACACGCACATTTTTAGTTATGGTAGAGACCTTTTGCAGCTCCATGTTTTAAATCCCAGCCCAGTTTTACACTCTTGAGTATAAGTCTTTGTAGATTTTCTGCTTGGCTAAGCGCAAAACATATAGGGCTGGAGAGAGTGCAGCAGGTCAGGCCCTTGGTTTGCATGTGGCTGACCTGGGTACCCCCAGCAACCCCAGCAAATCCCTGAGTGGAGAACCAGGAGTAACCCCTGAGTACTGCCAGGTGTTGCCAAAAACAGAAAGCAGAACGAAAACAAGCATTGTAATTACTGACTGTACATTCATTACGTAGGATGGACATTGGTGAAGTTTTCAGGGAGGGGTCCCGCTAGGCAGTGCCCAGGGCTTACTCTTGGCCCTGTGCGGCCCGGTCACTCCTGGTAGAGCTTGAGGAAGCAGCCTGGGTCCGCCCACGTGCCCGGCAAGTGCCCTCTCTGCTGTACTGTCGCTCCAGCCCCGGACGTGCTTGCTTTTTAAAAAGATTAAATTGCTAGGTTTGTGTCGACAAATGAAATGTTAATTATTGGAGGCTAACACTAAAATATCATAAAGCGATTAAACTGATTTGAGCTTTGTCTTATAAACTGCCCCTGAAAATCCAAACGCACTTCAGTCACTGTACCGTCAAGGGGCAAATTAGCCTCTTGACTTACTTGCTTTGAAGATGTTCTTTCTCAAAACACACACACACACACACACACACACACACACACACACACACCTCTGTGACCACAGCGGACAGCTAGTGCCTTCACTCTGGGCCCTCAGCATTTCCAAGAGTTACCTGTTCCCCTAGAACTTTTAGTATCTCTTGGCAAGGTCCCTATTTTTTTTTTTTTGAAAGAGAAGTAAAGGGGCTGGAGCAGTAGCACAGCGGGTAGGGCATTTGCCTTGCACGCAGCTGACCCGGGTTCGATTCCCAGCATCCCATATGGTCCCCTGAGTACCGCCAGGGGTAATTCCTGAGCGCAGAGCCAGGAGTAATCCCTGTGCATTGCCAGGTGTGACCCAAAAAGCAAAAAAAAAAAAAAAAGAGAGAGAGAGAGAGAAGTAAAAAATTTGCTTTTCCATAAAGAAATTATCTCAGCCCTCTATTCTTACTGCTAAAAAATTTGAATAGACAGAAAAGTTTGAAGAATTATACCATGAACGTCTAGTGACCATCTATACCTTGATTCTATGATTATTCTGCTGCATTTTCTGTTTCTTGTGTGTGAATGTGGACACACACACACACACACACACACACACACTGTGGCTCCATTGCCGAACCACATCCTGGTCTTCTTTTCCGATGAATTGTGTAGCGAGTCTGTTGACTTCATAGTGGCCATGCAGTGCCTGTTGAACTGTGGGCGGCAGAGGGGATGCCCCCGGGATCCCAGAACTGACCAGCCCGTGACCCTCGGACCTCTTTTTCAGGACGTGTTCCACATGGTCGTGGAGGTGCCACGCTGGACGAACGCGAAGATGGAGGTAGGTTTGTCTTTTATTGAGAGAAGTGAGAGATTTGTTTTGATGAAGCCGCGTTATTTGCTCAAGTCACCGAGAGTATTCGATATGCCAGACACAGTAACAACAAAGTCTCCAATGGAGACGTTACTGGGCCCGCTCGAGCAAATCGACGATCAATGGGAGGGCCTTTACCTTTACCTTTTACCTTTACATGATTCGAACAACCTAAACCCTGAGGTTTTCTGCTTCCCGTCTCCACTCTGTCACAGTTTTTCAGTTGTGCCTCTGATTACCCGCCTGTCCTCGGGCTCTCGGTGCTCTAACTAAACTCAAACTCGGGCTGGAAAATGCTGCTTGTTTTCCGTCCCTTTGCTTCTGCCAGGCCAGAGTCTGTGATTGCCCTTTTTGCTGTCATCCTCTCTGTTCCTGCTATTGATTCTTTCATGGAATCAGTGGTCTTTCCTCAGTCACCAGCCATCAGTGAATTTGCTGAGATGTCTGTTGTGTTTGGTATCACTGTATCACTGTAATTCAGTTGTTCATCAATTTACTTGAGCGGGTGCCGTTAACTTGTCCGTTTGTCCCAGCCCTGAGATTTTAGCAGCCTCTCCTTACTCGTCCTTCCCAAGGGTGCAGTATTTGAGGCTCTTTCAGGGTCAGGGGAATGAGACCCGTTATTGTTACTGTTTTTGGCATATCGAATACTCCATGGGTAGCTTGCCAGGCTCTGCCAAAAGCATACTTCCGTGACCGGGAATCGAACCCCGGGCCGCGGCAGTGAGAACGCTGAATCCTAACCACTAGACCACCAGGGAGTTGTATTTGGTAAAAAAGAAAAATTTCTCTTGAACAACTAACTATAATGAATACTTCCTCTGTTTTCTATCACTTACTTTTAAGCAGTTGGACAGTCAGTTCACTTTGCATGTGATAGACTTTTGAATATTTAATTTTCAATATTTAAGAGAAGTTATAGTTGGATAATATTTATTTTGCCCCCTCCTAATAAAATACTTATCACTTTAATTTTTCAACTGTTAGGATTTATTCAGCTAATTTATTTTTGCTCACTGGTATTAGTAAATGTTCTCTCTCCCTTCTTTTCTTTTCTTTTTTTATTTTGCTTTTTGGGTCACACCCAGCGATGCTCAGGGGTTATTCCTGGCTCTGCACTCAGGAATTACTCCTGGCGGTGCTTGGGGGATGATATGGGATGCCGGGGATCGAACCCAGGTCGGCCGCGTGCAAGGCAAACGCCCTACCCGCTATGCTATTGCTCTGGCCCCTCTCTCTCCCTTCTTGATCTTCTATACGCTAATGATTTTTCCACTTAAAGGTTGGTTTGAGGGAAACTTTTTTTCAAATTTATGAAGACTTTAGAGATAAAGTATGCCATTAAAGCAGAATTAGGGGAACTGCATTCTTTCAGATTCTTAGTTGAATAGTGTTTCACATCCATACGTACAGCAATTTGAAATTCTTTATTGTAGATTGCAACAAAGGATCCTTTAAATCCAATTAAACAAGACGTGAAAAAAGGAAAGCTGCGTTTCGTGGCAAATTTATTCCCTTATAAGGGATACATCTGGAACTACGGGGCCATCCCGCAGGTAAGTCTCTCAGAAACAGTGACTCAAAAACATACTTTTTGTGCATGAACTTTATTTCAAGGAGAGATAGAATATCCTCACACCATTTTTGCTGTTGTTGATTTTTAAAACATGCAGGGCAATGAGACCAGTTTTTTTTTTTTTTTTTTTTTTTTTTTTAGTGAAACACCATGAGGTACAGTTGTAGATTTACAAATTTTTGTGCTTGGATCTTGGTCATACCACGATCAAATACCCATCCCTCCACCAGTGCCCATTTTCCACCACCAGGGTAATATCCCTCCCCCCCATCCTCCCATCCCCCCATCCCCCCTGCCACTGTGGCAGGGCATTCCCTTTTGTTTTCTCTCTCCTCCTGGGTGTTGTGATCAGCCAAAGAGGCATTGAGTGGCGAACATGTTCAGTCCAGTCTACTTTCAACCTGCATCTCCCCTCCTGGGAGGATCCTCCAAACACCCTCCACTTGGTGTTCCCCTTTCTATCTGAATTGTCCTTTCCCCTAGAATACCCAGCTGGCCTCTAAGTTATGGAGTAATTCTCCTGGTGTTGCTCTCAGCTATTCTTGGGTACTAATCTCATATTTTATTATTTTATATCCCCCAGATGAATGCTATCTTTCTGTGTCTATCCCTCTCTTTCTGACTCATTTCGCTTAGCATGATACTTTCCATATTGTACCACTTGTATGTAAAGTTCATGACTTCATCTTTTCTAAGAGCCACATAGTACTCCATTGTGTAGATGTACCGAAGTTTCTTTAACCAGTCATCTGTTCTTGGGCACTCAGGTCTCTTCCAGTTTCTGGCTACTGTAAAGAGTGCTGCAATGAACAAACAAGTGCAGATGTCACTTCGGCTACACATTTTTGCCTCTCTGGGATATATTCCCAGGAGTGGTATCGCTGGGTCAAATGGGAGCTCAATTTCTAATTTTTTGAGGAACGTCCATACTGTTTTCCAAAAGGGCTGAACCAGTCGGCATTCCCACCAGCAGTGAAGGAGTGTCCCTTTCTCGCCACACCCGCGCCAGCAACGGTTGCTTTTGTTCTTTTGAATGTGGGCCAGTCTCTGAGGTGTGAGATGGTATCTCATTGTGGTTTTGATCTGCATCTCCCTGATGATTAATGATGTAGAGCATTTTCTCATGTGCCTTGAGACCAGTTATTTTTAATAACTTCTTTTTAATATTTCTTTGAAGCTATTCTTTGAATAGCTTATTTTCAAGAGAAACTGGAAGATAAATATTTACAGTTGTTTTGCTTGTTTTGTTTTTGTTTGGGGCCTGGCAGTGCTCAGGGCTTACTCCTGGCCCTGCACTCAGGGATCACCCCTGGTGGGGCTCAGGGGACCATACGGGTTGTCCAGGATCGAACTTGGGTTGGCTGTGTATAAAGCAAGGGTGCTGTTGCTTTTAATGCACATTGGATGACTTTTTTTTTCTTTTTGGGTCACACCCAGCGATGCACAGGGATTATTCCTGGCTTTGCACTCAGGAATTACTCCTGGAGGTGCTTGGGGGACCATATGAGATGCTGGGAATTGAACCCAGGTCGTCTGCGTGCAAGGCAAATGCCCTACCCACTGTGCTATCACTCCAGCCCCATATTAGATAACTTTGTTTTCTGAAATGTTTGCTTTTCTATATAGACCGCTTGAAGGTCTATATAGAAAATATAAAAATGTTTTTCTTTACAGTCACTGTCACTGTCCTCCCTTTGTTCATCAATTTGCTCGAGTGGGCCCAGTAACATTGTGAAACTTGTTACTGTGTTTGGCATATCAAATATGTGACGGGTAGCTTGCCAGGCTTTGCCGTGCGGGCGAGATACTCTCTATAGCTTGCCAGGCTCTCCAAGAGGGCTGGAGGAGTCGAACTTGGCTTGGGCTGCGTGCAAGTGTGCAAGTATAAGTGGACAATTTACTAGAAACTAAGGTATTAGGAGCACTGATTCTTGGGCTGGGATGTAGTACAGTGGTTTGATTCCTGGAGCCACATGGTCCCCTGAGGATCAACAGTGTAGCCTAGTTATCCCTAAGCAGGCCTCAAGGAGCATCACATCCTCAGCCTTTGCATTGAACCAACAGTCTGGTTGGCTGAGGACCACAGACCTAGTCCCCACCCCACCCCACTTCTCAGCATCACATGGGAGCTTCCCCTCACCCCTGCAAATAGCTCTAGTTCTTTTTTTTTTTTTTTTCTTTTTGGGTCATACCCAGTGGGCAATGCTCAGGGGTTACTCCTGGCTTTGCACTCAGGAGTTACTCCTGCCGGTGCTCAGGGGACCATATGGGATGCTGGGAATCGAACCCGGGTCGGCTGCGTGCAAGACAAACGCCCTACCCGCTGTGCTATTGCTCCAGCCCCGTGGTTCTTGCCATCACACAGATGAAGATTTAGATCCCAAGTCTGGAACTTCTGACCTTATCTGACCTGCCTGTTTCTTCGTCTCTCAGGCACTGACTCCTTCCCTTGAGGTAGTGAGAGTGCTCACGTGGTCATTGTGAGCCGTGAGGGTGCTCGGTGGCACACAAGAGTCCTCACAGCTGCTGACTTTCATGTCTGGCAGCCTGATTCTTGCTTCTTTAAGCTCTTGGTGGTACAATAACTGTGGGGTTCTGTTTTTCTAAACATTCAACGCTTTGAAGCGGGGAGGGATCTGTGATGTTTATCAGTACTTCCCCTGTACGACGTCAGTGCCTCCAGCACGACGGTGCTGGAAACCCGAGTGAAGAATCCCTAGAATTGTGCCATTATGAGTAAATAATCTATTAATTTAAGTCTAGGCGGGCTAGGATAGTACTGTGGCACTTGAGATTTTTACATAAAACGCACTTTCTTTTTCTTGATGATCCATGCTATGTATTGTTGCCTTCAGGTCTATCGATTGAAATCCACTCTGAAACAATCTATAAGTTAGGAGACAGGTTCCGCTCTTCTGCCTTGTTAGGGGGCCTCATTTATCTGCTTTAAGTACAGCACTTCACCTTGAACGTCATCTGACTTCATGTTTAGCCTCGAAATCCCTGCCTGCTGGGAAAACATGGCTAAAATATTTGTTCTCTAGAATCTGAATGGGCTTTGTTGAATCCACTCTAACTTTATCCCGTCTCACTATGATCAGCTTGCCTTTATTCCATCTGAGCAGGCAAACAAATTTCAATAATGTGTCTGGACTGTGGGAGAGAACCAAAACAATAAGGAAATTTGAAACTCACTTCCTGGCAAACATAAGCCGTCCCTCCGTGAGTAGAATGCTCGCTAAGGGCCCTGTGGACCAGGCAGGAAGTCAGAAACCTAACCGTTCGTTTTCAGTTTGATGGCCACACCCGGCAGTGCTCTGGGCTTACTCCTGGCTCTGCGCTCCCGAATCCTTCTGGTAGGGCTTGGGAGACCATACAGGATGCTGGGGGGCCATAGGAGATGCCAGGGCTTGAACCCGGTTGGCCACATGGAAGGCAAGCGCCCTCCCCGTGGTTCTTTCACTCTGGCCAAGCATTGACACTGAATCAGAACACATTGTTTCAGTTTTAATATCACTGCTTACCTACCTCAGCTTTGAAAATGTTTTTTTTTTCTCTTTTTGAGTCACACCCGGCGATGCTCAGGGGTTACTCCTGGCTCTGCACTCAGGAGTTACTCCTGGCGGTGCTCAGGGGACCCTATGGGATGCTGGGAATCGAACCCGGGTCGGCCGCGTGCAAGGCAAATGCCCTACCCGCTGTGCTATCGCTCCAGCCCCCTTGAAAATGTATTTTAAAGTAAATCTAGTTAACAATAAGTATGAATTGCTTATCAAAGCTTTTTTTTTTGTCCATTAATTGGGGTAGAAGGACACACCCCACATTGCTCAGAGGCCATGCCATGCAGGGCATCAAACATCAGATCCAACACATGTGCTCGGCCACTCGAGCCACGTGCCTGGTCAAAAACACATTTAAAAATATATTTAAGGGGCTGGAGCGATAGCACAGCGGGTAACGTTTGCCTTGCATGCGGCCAACCTGGGTTCGATTCCCAGCATCCCATATGGTCCCCCAAGCACCACCAGGAGTAATTCTGAGTGCAGAGCCAGGAGGAACCCCTGTGCATCGCCAGGTGTGACCCAAAAAGCAATATATATATATATTCAAAAACTTAATACTTGGTATATTTGTGCCTTCATGTTTCAGGTGTTAGGTATTTTTGTTTCAAATAGGATATTTATGTGTATGGTTTATATAGATACATAAAATTTAGTTTAGCTGTATAGTCATAAAAGGAGTTGTGCAACTTAAATATCATGAATAGTTAAGATCCTTAAATAGGAATAAAGAATTATTTTAAGATGAGGAAAATAGCTGGAGGTTGTTTCTAAATTTTTCAGAAAGAATGGGATATTAGGGGCTGGAGTGATGGTCTGGTGGGTAGGGTACTTGCCTGTGTGCTGCCAACTCAGTTTGATCCCTGGCACCATATGTGGTTGGTCCCCTAAACTGATACAGAGGAAGCCAGGGTGTGGGACCCCCTTCATAAAAAAGAATGGGATATTGCCATTAATTGGGGCTTTCGCTGCGCCTGGTGGTCACCCTGGCTCTGTGCTGGGGGTTGAGCTGCTGATGCTGGATGCCTGAAGGGAGGTCCCCAATCCCTGGTGCTCTCTCAGGTCCTGGGGGATCTTGCAATGCCACCGGGAGATCATCTGCATACGTCAGTGACTTGTGGAGGAATGTTTGCTCATCTGAGCCTTTTTGTGTTTTCCAGACTTGGGAAGACCCAGGACACAATGACAAACACACTGGCTGTTGTGGTGACAATGACCCCATTGATGTGTGTGAAATTGGAAGCCGGGTAATGGAATCTAAAATGTTTTTTCTCTGGTGTTGCCATGGTATTCATCAAGTATACCGAGTTCATACTTAAAAAAAAAATGGGGGTGAAACCATGTTTCTTGGTGTGATAAGTTTAAAGCTTACCTTTCATCAAAGCATTGATGATGAGAATGCATATGTTTAAACTGTTTGATCTAGAAAGAGCGGTTTGCACGTACGGCTCTTCGATGATGTGGCAGGCAGATGTGCCCTGCATTGCTTTTAAAAGGCAGATGGCCAGGCAGTGGGTGGAAAGGAGGAGGAAGAGGCGACTCTGGTCTCACTCAAAGATCTGGAGCAGCTAGTGAACTGCCCAGACCAAATAGTCTCGTACATTGAAGAGAGATGGTAAGAATTCCTTTGGTAAGTGGGTTTGCTTTGGAGATCATAATTACTGCCTAGACTAAATAGTCTTGTAGGTTGAAGAGAGACGGTGAGAATCCTTTGGGAAGTGGATTTGCTTTGGAGATCATAATTGTGATCTTTCTCAGGCTCAGGAAAAGAGGTAACTGAAAAGAAAGTTGTTGTCCACTTTTTTAAAATTTTTTTTTTAATTTATTTTTTTGTCATTCACTTTTTTTTTTTTTTTTTGCTTTTTGGGTCACACCTGGCAATGCACAGGGGTCACTCCTGGCTCTGCCCTCAGGAATTACCCCTGGTAGCACTCAGGGGACCATATGGGATGCTGGGAATCGAACCCGGGTTGGCCGCGTGCAAGGCAAACGTCCTACCCGCTGTGCTATCGCTCCAGCCCCTGTCATTCACTTTTTAACAATAAATTTGAGTCATTTGTCTGGCTACCTAACTTGGCGACCGTTTCTCCCCTCTGCTGGGGACCTCCCGTTCCCACTTCCCTCACTGAATTTCATGATTATGTACTGCTAATATACTGTAAAATTAAAGGCCAAGGTGACACATTTGGGGCCGGAGCCACAGTACAGTGGGTAGGGCACGTGCCTTGCACGCAGCCGACCCAGTTTTGATCCCTGGCACCCCATATGGTCCCCTGAGCCCTCCAGGAGTGATACCTGAATGCAGATCCAGGATTAAGCCACTGGGTGTGGTCCAAAGACAAAGCACATTTAAATATGGTTTTTTTTTTTTTTTTTTTTTTTTTTTTTTTTTGCTTTTTGGGTCATACCCGGCAATGCACAGGGGTTCCTCCTGGCTCTGTGCTCAGGAATTACCCCTGGCGGTAGCTCAGGGGACCATATGGGATGCTGGGAATCGAACCCAGGTTGGCCGCATGCAAGGCAAACGCCCTACCCGCTGTGCTATTGCTCCAGCCCCTTAAATATGTTTTTGAAACTACTCAGGGATAATCTCAGCTTCAGTAAAATCAGTAACAGCTTGAGTCCATGAATTTCCCCGAACTGTCACTGATGGTTTTAGAATCTGTAAGTACGAAGAGCCTGTTATAAACTCTGATGGGACTGTTGTTGTTTGCTAGTTTAGCTTTTTGAAAAATTGCCTTAAGTCTTGCTCCAGGGAGATCGGCCATGCGTAAGGTATTAGCATAACCCTATACTATGATCCCCAGCACTCCTCAGCCTCCGTCCAGAGCACCAGCAGGTGTGACTCTGGTGGCCCCCAAGCACCTCCAGGTTGCCCTGGGTGGTCCGTGGCCCTGCAGTTCCCAAGGGGCACTGCATCTTCAGGCTTTAGCTTTGAACTGCAGGTGCAGGTGAGTGAGAGCTTCCAGGCAGGGCCCTTGATGCTGCCTTCTCTCCCCAAAAGAAACAGAAACAGAAACTGAGCACCGTGCATCCCTCCTGTGGGTCAAACACAGGGTTTCTCCCAGCACCCCCTTCTGTAGCGCGCCCTGACTGTGACTTCTTCTCTCAGGTCTGCGACAGAGGCGAAATCATCCGGGTGAAAGTTCTCGGCATATTGGCCATGATCGATGAAGGGGAGACCGACTGGAAGGTCATTGCCATTAACGTGGACGACCCAGATGCGGCCAATTTTAATGGTAAGGGAAGCGACCCCCGTCCGTGAATCCAGATCTTGCTCACCACCGAGCGCTACCTTGGCCTTCACGCTGTTCAAGGCGGAGGAACAGAACGTGGCAAGGTGTTGCTGTGTCCACCTCCGAACTAAGCTAATGGAACTTCCTCCTTCATCCCAGGAAAGAAAATAACCCGGTAGCTGGAATCTTCTGTGTGCACCCTCACTCCCAGCCCCCTACACACATGCCTGTGTTTATACAGGATAGAGCTCCATTGCTGTTTATTAAGATTTTTTAAGTTGATTTATCCAGATACTATAGAATTCGGCATTCTAAAGTGTATGAATCTGTGGTTCTTTATATAAGTAGGGCAACTACTACCTAATTTCAGGCCTGTTTCTCCCCTCTACTGGGGACCTCTTCTTCCCACTTCCTCCAGTTCCTATCAGCCCCTAATGTACTATGTGTCTTTCTGGATTTGCCTCTCACGGAAATGGGACCCTGTGATGACTTGGTTGCCCTCTTGACCAAGCCTGTTTCCAAGGTCCACCCAGGTTATGCGTGTAGAAGAAGTACTTCTTTCCCTTTTGGTGGTCGAATTCTCAGAACACAAAATTCAACATTTTGATACAGAAGTCTAGATGTGGTAGCATTTAAGTACATTTGTAAGGTGAGTCTCCATCGCTCCCTGGTTCCAGGCCATCATTGCCCGGGTGGGAAACTGCATTTAAGCAATCATCATTGCCTACTCTCCTCCCACAGGACTGGGCATGTGCTCCTCTTTCTAACATACTTGTTTCTGACGTTGGTTTGGGGCCATGCCCAGCTGTGCTTAGGGCTTGCTCCAGCCTCTGCACTAATTACTCCTGGAGGGGTTGGGGCACCATATGGGGTGCCAGGGATAGACCCCGTGTTGGCCGGGTGTGTGGCAAGCACCCTCCGCACTGTCCTGTCGCTCCGGCCACCCTTCTGACATCCTTAAGGGCAGCGGCGAGTGCGCCTTTAACCTTTCTGCTGGCCCCGCGACCTCTGCCCACCGTGGGAGAGGCCGTCTGCTTTTGAAGGCTGTGTGCTCACACGAGGTCTCGCTCTGTCGTAATAGAGGACACTCGTCCCAACTCAAAGTCCTAGCGAGCACATCTGAAAAGCCATCTGTCATCTAAGGTGGACATCTTCATAGACTGGGGTGAGGAGGCGGGAGTCCTTAGGCGACTGAGAGACGAGGAGGATTCTGCCACCATAAAATTCTGTGGGTTTCGACAAATACCCAGTATTGGTGCCCACCATTACAATATCAGCATGGGCGTAGTGGACGTCATGCTGCCCCGGCTGAAGGGGTTCACTCCCCGATCCCCGAAGCACACGACGGTTACGGTGTGTGGAAGGAAGGGTGCTAGTCAGCTCACCTGGGTCATGCTGGGTTACCCACTCGTAGAACTGCCCGTCTCTGAGTTCTCGTGGCAGAGGGAGGCGGGGGATAAGAGGACCTGGGAGAGGACCCGCTTGCTCTCGCTGCCTCGACGGCTGACAGGGAGGGGAGTCGGGCTGCTCTCAGCCTGCAGCACATGGAGGAGAATTTTTCTTTAGAATCTGCCCAGCGAACACTTTTCCTGCTGACGCCTCCACTTTCGCCCAGTGAGGCCCATTTTAGGCAAGCAGACAAATTGGGCAATAACTAGATAAATGATCCGATCGTTAATAGACAACGTTCATAGAACAGTCACCAAGATAAACAAGACACAGAGTTCCCAGATCTTGTCATTTGGATAAATCTTTGTGCTTTGAGTGAGGCAATGGCTTCTTATATAAGACACCAAGAGCCCAAGTGACAGCAACACACTTAGACCACATCCTGGTGAGAAAATCGAGTGTGTCCAAGGACCTGGCGATTCTCAGGGGTCACTCCGACTCTACTTGGGAATTACTCTGGTGGTACTCGGGGAAATCAGCTGAGTTGCTGGGGGTCAAACCCGGGTTGGAGCATACAGGACAAGCACAGACCCGCTGTAACTATTGCTCCAACCCCCAGAGACAGCTCTAAAGACAGCAAAAGAACGGGCTGGAGAGACAGTACAGGCCGTAAGGTGCACTAGCTTAACCTGTGCATTTGGATAACTTAATTCTCAGCACGGGACCCCCAAAAACCACCATCCCAAAAGAAAAAATTTGGAGTGAAAGAATGAATGACCCTCAAGCATAAGGAAAGATGACCAAATTTGTATCTCTGATAAAGCTCTAGTATCCATCTAAGTAAATATGAAAAATAAATAAATAAGATTTTGCTATAATAAAGAATGTTCTAACCTGTGTAGGCAGGGAAGGAGGGATCTGAGCCCTCATCTACGCTGCTGGCATGGCCCCGTTGCTTTCCTTACAGCTTGGCCCAAGGATGCTTCTCTCTGCGTTGGTTATAATCTGCAAAGTTGGTCAGTGCCTGGATGAGAGGGACCCTACTAGCCATGGCCCTGGGAGGGAACTGTGACCACCAGAGTCGGACCAGAGTGATAGTTCAGCAGGGAGGGCACTTCCCAGTGCCCCAAGCACCTCTAGGGGTGATGAGTGCAGAGCCAGGAGTAACCCCTGAGCATCACCTATGTGGCCCAAAAGGCAAAAAAAGAAAAAGAAAAAGAACAGCACCAGAATCTACTCGCACCTCTCTGCAGTGGGCATCTGGAAAAGGACACCTCGGGGCTGTGGCCCCCACAGCGTGGGCACCGCGAAGGTCGATTGAGATCTGGCCACAGTCCGAACACTCCTGTGCTGGACCTTCGCGGTCCCTGAATCTCCATGGGGCCTCAGGAGGCAGCACCGCGAGTCACTGGCTCTTCATTGCCTCACCAGCTCCGCTGCTGGGGCTCCCTCCCAAGTCCGGGGTGCAACCACTCAGCACCCGCGCTGTGGTGCCCGTCTCAGCCCTGGAGGAGGCTCCCCAGTCCGGGAGTGCAAGTGAAACGATTCCCGAGTTCTCTGAGTCATTCCAGTCCATGGAACCTCAGGGGCCGAGTGTGGGGCATCTGGTTTCTAGCAGGAGGGGAGAAGCATTGGGAGTTTTTCAGCTAAGACCTGGAGGGGAGGCCGCAGAGAATGGGCCAGAAGGATGTGTCAGAAGGGCTGTGCGGACTCCCCAGGAGGTACCTGGCGAGAAAGAACCGGTTGGGGGTATTACCAGGTGTAGCATTTTCACGTGAGGGTCCTATTTATTGGAGTTATTTCCCTATCAAATGTTCTCCGTTGTACGTTTCTGGAAGTTTATCAGTCGTTAAGTATTTCCCAGCCCGCTTTGTAAACTTTTTGTCGATTATAAATGGGCCGTAAGCAAAGTTCCTTTATCCAGATAGAACTAAGTTTTTGTAGTTGTGTGTGTGTGTGTGTGTGTGTGTGTGTGTGTGTGTTTGCACTTAGATCATTTGCTTACTTGCAGCAGCAGTTTGGTCATTGAAGTTGGGTTGAGTTTGCCAAGATCTCTCCACCGTGACCCCAGGGTCCCTCCCTCGCCCCGCCCCTGCCTCCCCTAAGCATCCTCAAATCATGGTTCCCGCCGCATCTCAGGCTTGTTCCCATCGGGGCTGATCTCGTCCCCAGGCTTTGTTTGTTTATTCTCTGGTGAGTGAGACCGCTGCTGTTGGCCTTTCTCTTTCTGATTCGCGTCACTTAGCGCCACGCCCTCCAGTTCCACCCGTGTCACAGAAGGCCAGAGTTCGTCTTGACTCACAGACCAGAGAGCTGCGTTGTGTGTGCATCCCACTTGATCCATCCGCACCTCTGCAGTCGGGTGCTTGGTTTGTTTCCAGATCTTGGCGATGGTAAATCGTGCTGCGATGGACATGCAGTGCCCTGGGCGTGCGCAATTAGAGCAGGACTGCAACTTGCACGGGAGCACTGTCCTCCCCTTGTTCATTGATTTACTCGAGTGGGTTCCAGTAGCGTCTCCGTTGTGAGACTTCAATATGTTTTTGGCATGTTGAATACACCACGGGGAGCTTGCCAGGTTCTGCTGTGTGGGTGGGATACTCTCAGTAGCTTGCCGGGCTCTCCGAGAGGGACGGAGGACTAGAACCCGTGTCGGCCACGTGCAAGGCAAACGCCCTACCCGTTGTGCTGTTGCTCCATAAAACAATAATACAGGCACGCTTATTTTTTTAAAAAAAGGCCCTCCCGTTGATCATCGATTTGCTCGAGCGGGCCCAGTAACGTCTCCATTGGAGACTTTGTTGTTACTGTGTCTGGCATATCGAGTACTCTCGGTAGCTTGCCGGGCTCTCCGAGAGGGGCGGAGGAATCGAACTTGGGTCGGCCATGTTGGCTGCGTGCAAGGCAAACGCCCTACTGCTGTGCTATTCATTAATTTTTTCATTTAATTTTTTAAAAAAAATTAAATGAAAAAGTTAATGAATGAATTAGAATTTTTTTTCTTTTTGGGTCACACCTGGCTCTGCACTCAAGAGTTACTCCTGGCGGTGCTCAGGGGACCATATGGGATGCTGGGAATCGAACCAACCCGGGTTGGCCGCGTGCAAGGCAAACGCCCTACCCGCTGTGCTATTATCTCTCCAGCCCCTGAATTAGAATGTTTGAGTTTAAAAAATCTGCAGGGAGGACCCAGAAGTTGGAATGGCACCTGCCTTATACGTAACTGCTTCGATTGCCCTGGTTCAGTCCCTGGCACCGTGTCTGGTCTGGTCCCTTGAGCACCTCCAGGGCTTGCTCCTGGGTAATCAGTGGGGGCCAGAGTGAGAAGGTATAGCAGTTCGGGTGCTTGCCTTGTATGCAGTTGACCTGGGGTTGATCTCTGGCCCACATATGTTCTCCTGGGGATTCCTGAGCCCAGAGCACTGCAGAGTGTGGGCTCCTCCGTCCCAATTTTAAAACAACAACAAAATGTGTGTGTGTGTGTGTGTGTGTGTGTGTGTATTTTTTTTTTTAACGGTAGAGCTGAGTTTGATGAACTTGAGATTGGGGAGCTCTATCAAAACTTGAGGAGTTTTGGAGGTGGTCTCCCCAGCAGTGCTTAGGGGTCTTGCTGCTACTCCCAGTGAGCCCCGTGGTGCTTGGACCACCCGACAATGCTGGGGGTCAGACCCGGGTCTTCCAGACCTCAGCCCCATCCTCGACCCCTTAACAAGGGAAGTAGTAAAAGAGGGGAGTCGCATGCCCCTGGACCTCAGTCCTCCACCCCAGTGACTCCTGGGCATTGCCAATGTGGCCCCGAGGGCCCCCTGAGCACTGCCTGGGTGACACATGTGGTTCTGGGCCCCAGAGGACCCATGTGTCATGTTGTCCAGCCCTACACAGCGATCCACTGACCTGATAGACCGAGAATCACTTGGGAGGCCCCATGAAAATGCTTTTAAAGCATTAAGAGATTACCTGTGCTATAAAGCCAAAAAAATTATCATAATTGATATGTAACTTGTCACGGATATGAGCCGCAGGCAGTTTCTTAATTATCTCTCTTAGTCTGTAATCGGCAGATGATCTGAATATAGCCTCAACTTGTCTTTTGTTCCTTTGTTTTTGGGGTCACACGCAGCCATGCTCGGGGGTTACTCCTGGCTCTGCGCTCAGGGATCATGCCCGGCAATGCTCGTGGGGCCATGTGGGATGCTGAGTTAGCTGCATGCTAGGCAGACACTCCGCCGCTGTGCTGTTTACACTCTGGCCCCACAACATGTCTTCTTAAATATTTGTGATCGTGTGTCCCCCTGGGCTGGAGCGATAGCACAGTGGGTAGGGTGTTTGCCTTGTGCGCGGTCGACCTGAGTTCGATTCCTCCACTCCTCTCTCGGAGAGCCCAGCAAGCTACTGAGTGTATCTCGCCCGCACGGCAAAGCCTGGCAAGCTCCCCGTGACGTATTTGATATGCCAAACACAGTAACAAGTCTCACAATGTTACTGGGCCCACTCGAGCAAATCGACGAACAACGTTTGGACAGTGACAGTGTCCTCCTGGCCATTTCTCTCTCTTTGGCTAACACATAGATGTACTACTGTATTGATTAGTCAGATTTCATGATGCTGGTGGTTTCGTGTGTGTGTATGTTCTCTCAGCAGTGATGGGTTCTAACATTATCTGGAACTTCTCGCTAATTCACCCTGTGGGTTTTACAGAATAAGTAGGCAACGCTTTCATTGGCTGCAGAGTGACATGGGCACCTTGCAATCTGCTTGTTCTCGTTTAGATATTAATGATGTCAAGCGGCTGAAGCCTGGCTACCTGGAAGCAACCGTGGACTGGTTTAAAAGGTACAAGGTTCCTGATGGGAAACCAGAGAACCAGTTCGCTTTCAACGCTGAATTTAAAAATAAGGTAATGCCCCATTGCGAATGGCCGCTCTAGACCTATCTGGGTGAAGACTTGTGATTTCACCAGAGGGTGACCGAGGGTGACCATTCCAGGAGACTCTGTCATCTTAAGTCCCTAAGACATAAGGGAGCCCTGATGCTGCTTTACACACTCAAGTGTGTTCTGCCCTTTGGACACAAGAAAGCTATGGGAAGAAATTCATAGTCCTCAGTCTTCGGGGAAACGTTTATGAGGAAAGAACACTTTCTCCTGTAATGCCTGTCTTTTCAAATTTCAGGAGTTTGCGATTGATGTTATTAAGAACACTCATGACTATTGGAGAGCATTAGTCACCAAGAAAACTGATGGGAAAGGAATCAGCTGGTAAGCGGACAGGCCCCTCCGCGTGTTGAATGCCCAGAGCAGCCCAGTTCCCAAAGGTTTTGATGGTTTTGTTTGTTTTGTTTCTGTTTGCTTGTTTTTTGGGGGAGTGTTCTTTGGGCCTTTGGGAACCTTTGGATTCTTTGCGAACACCAGTGCTCCCGTGTGTACTGTATGCCTGGGTTGCTTCCAGCAGTGCTCAGGGGCCCATGCCGTATTCCTGTGATTGAACCTGGGCCTCCTGGTATTAAAGCATGTGCTAAAGAAACTGTCCTGTTAGCATCCACTTAGAAAAGAGGTCGTGGGGCCATGCTTTGTACATAAGCCCTGGCTCTGGTTCCTGGCACATAAATTTAAAAAAAAAAACAACACTTCCGTTTTGTCAGTTAGTGCTCACGTGAGTGAGCAGGAGAGTGAATACACAAACTGAAAAGAGCCCATCAGACAGTTAGAACAAGTGCAAACTGAAACTTTAAAGGAAGTTGTGGCAGCCACCTTTGCGAGGTCGCTGGGGCAGGTTACCTGGGCTCAGCATGCTAAGAATTCAAGGTTCAAGACAGGGTGCATGTAGGGGCACGTTCTCTTATATAATGGAAGCTGCTCTCTCTCTTCCTTCTTCTCCCTCCCTCTCCCTTTCTCTCTCCCTCTCTTTCTCCCTCTCCCCTGAAAGTTTAGTAAGAGTACCCCTTACCTACTTTGCACTTTGAACCCTTGGATCTTGTCCATCAGAATCATTCCTGACTGTGAGTGTCATAGTGAGGAGATCGTTTTTTCCTTGTCAATTTTTTATTCTTGAGACAGGATGGGTACAACCTCATAGAGCTCAGGAATGACCCTTGGGGGTGCTCAGGGAACCATAGGCAGAAACGGGGGTTGGATGGGGCTTGGTCACACTCCGTCCAAGTGCCTGAACTCTTGTGCTCTCTGGTTCCGCTTAATGGTTATGTTTGTTGGTTGGTTGGTTTTGGATCCTTGTGGCTGTGCACGGGGCTCTGCATGGAGCACTCCTGGCAGTGCTCAGGGCAGCTGAGTGCAAGGCAGGCCCCTTCCCTGCTAAACCATCTCTCCAGCTCCGATTTCTAATCATCTCATATTACTTCTTGCCTTTCATATTCTCAGCAGTAAAATCACCGTTGTGCTGCTGTCTCTCCAGCCCAGGGTAGGAATTTTTAAAAGTGTTCAACACTTTTTACCAGGCTGTTTATCAGGAATCTGACCCCAGAGTTTGCCCTGCCAGGAGTGTCTGGCTCAACCATCTTATCGGCACTCATAAATACTGAATTTTTTTTTTTTTGGTATGCTTTTTCTTTTCATCCTGTTTAATTAGAAAAGGTAGGGTTCTCATTTTAATTCGCATTTCTTAACTATTTTAATGATCATTTCAAATTATTTAACATAAGATTTTAAAATCTGAATATATTATAATATTTATTAAAATTTACCACAGAATAATGAAATAACTGTAGGGCTAGAGAGATAATACAGAAGGTGTAGCGCTTGCTGGGTGTGGCCCATCCCAGGCAACAACTCCTCCCCCCAAAAAAAACAAAAACAAAAGAGTTGTTTTACCCTCTCAAAATAGAACATTAAGATATTTAAAGAGAGTACGCCTTCAGCTTTGAAAGTTTAAGCTTTCAAACAAATCATGTGGCCTGCCATCTCCAAGTTGTGGAAGAGAAGTGTTTTTCTCTCTGAAACCACTTTTGTTTCGTTGGCAGCATGAACACGACCGTGACTGAGAGCCCCTTCAAGTGCGATCCCGACGCTGCCAAAGCCATCGTGGACGCTGTATGTATAAGACGCTGCGGCAGATGTTGTTGAGGGCCGGGGAACCATTCCAACAATTATTTGGGGTCCTCTGTGTGCATGTTAACCTGTGAGGTCTGGAAATTGCCACTGAACACACATAGGTAGTCGTCTGGCTGTGGGGAGGGTCAGAGGGTACCATCAATTGGTGGACATGACAGAGTAGTGCATTTGTAAAAAATCACGGTGGTTCCAGAACGTTCCTGGCAGCCCAGGCACCTCTGTGCCTTCCGCACCCCGTCTTTCCCAAAAGCAGCAGAGGAAGCCGGGGGGATGTGGTTTTATGGTAAAGACTGGGAATCTGGGGGCTGGAGAGATAGCACAGCGGGTAGGGCGTTTGCCTTGCACGCAGCCAACCCGGGTTCGATTCCCAGCATCCCATATGGTCCCCTGAGCACCGCCAGGGGTAACCCCTGTGCACCGCCAGGTGTGACCCAAAAAGCAAAAAAAAAAAAAAAAAAGACTGGGAATCTGCTGAATCTCAGCACCACTACAGAGGTATTTAAATACTAGAAAAGACTTTTCTCAGGTAGTAAACTTTTTTTTTGTTTAAATTGAATCACCGTGAGAACAGTTACAAAGCTTCAGGTTTAAGTCTCGGTCATACAATGATCAAACACCCATCCCTTCACCAGTGCGCATGTTCCACCACCAAGAACCCCAGTAGACCCCCATCCCACCCCTCCCCCTGCCTGCGTGGCAGGTGATTTCCACTTTGATTACATTCAGTTTTTCGACAGAAAATTTTTGGAATTTTCCCCCAACATTTAGACCTGCCGAGAAGGCATCATTAGATCATTTGTTTTCTATTGCTGATAGTGAAGAGCATATTGGATTTCTGATATTTAAGTAATTAAGTCTGGAGAGATTTCTGCAAGAAGCCACTGGGTTCTGAGATTGGTTTGTGTGCTTCTGGGATCATGGTCACTCAGGAGCCGAGGAGCCATTTGTGGGCGGCAACTCTGGGTCTCATCGAGGCGGGGAGAAGGGCTGCTTCCAGCCCCCATCCCGTGAGGCCCAGTGTGTCTCATCACTGCAGGCGTGTACCTCTCAGTCCACTAGGCTCTGAAAGAGCACTCTGAAAGAGCACCAGGTCACCATGCCGCCGAGGGGATGAAGGTGGCAGGACAATGGCCTTTCCCTCCTGGGGTGCCACGGGGCCTTAGCTTAATTCACAGTCCAGCAGCATTTCTGCCAGAATCCGCTGGGTTCCGAGATTGGTTTGTGTGCATCTGGGATCATGGCACATTCAGGAGCTGTTCATGGACGGCAACTTGGGGTCTCGTCGGGGCAGGGAGAAGGTCAGGTAGTAAACATTTATCAGAAATAATCACACTTTTGCACTGATTTGATGATTGGCTTTTGAATAACCAAGAGATCTTAAAATATCCTCATTTGCCCTATTAAACGGGAAAGTAAGAGGACATGAAGTCTCACTTTTTACTGCCTTGTGAAAGGGGGCAGTAAAGAGGAAAAATCTTTGTTAAAAAGATGTGGACACATTCAGATTTATCTTTATGTTACAAATCCTGACAAAGTTGAGGCAAATTTAAAAAAAAAACAGCCTAGGAAGGGAACAAAGCCACTATTGGTTAAAAAGAATAGCTTTTCACTAGAACACTCTGTCCATCTTTAATACATGGATGTGTACCTGTCTATAATCGTTGCATATGTATCAGTCGGTATTCTTGATTTTGAAAATATTTTTGTTTTGCCAAGTGTCACAGAAGCTTGAATGTGTTGGGTCTTCCTTAACAGTAGATAGAGCAAACTTTGCTTTGTGCCAATATACTATAGATTATCTTTGGAATTGAAAAAAATGTGGTTACCGTCTCTGTTTTGATTCTTTGGTTTAAAAAAATTTTTTTTTTGTTCTTGTTTTTGCTTTTTGGGGAGATTATGTTTTGTTTCATGTGGGTTTGGTTTTGGGGGCCACACCGAGCAGGGCTTACTCCTGGCTCTGCACTCAGGGATCACTCCTGGAGGGACGCCAGGAGGCATAATTGACGGGGTACCAGGATTTACCCGGGGATCTGCCACAAGCCTTACCTGCTGTGCTCTCTCTCTGGACCCTGGACTAACATCTTGAACTGTTTTGTTTTAGTTACCACCACCGTGTGAAACTGCCTGCAGAGAACCAACAGACGGTAAGACCTGTAGCCTGCTACAATTATTTTTGAAATATGTATCATGTGGGAAAATTCAACACATATCTGCTATCCCACATACACAGAATGACGGGAAGAAGAGAGATCACATGAGTTCTGTGGTGTCTGTGGGGAGAGGAAGATCCGGTGCATGTCACCTCTGGGGCCACCCTCGCCCTGGTTTCCAAACCGTGGGCTTCTGGGTCCTGTGTCGATTCCCCAGAGTCACTGAAGCAAGCCCGATCTAGCCCAGCTCACCACAGGCTGCTTCACCCCAGACAAGAGTTCTCGTCCCTTGTAGGTGTTAGAATTCTCTCTACGGTTCTTTTGGAGAGGCACGTGTGTGAATGGTCAGTAGCAAGAAGTAGACCGCGCAGAAGAAAGCCGTGTTTGCCAGAGTGAACTTGTATGTTTGCGTGGGTTTCCTGGTAATACGGAGTAGGATAGGTGAAAGCCAGGAACTGAGTTATTTTACGTGTTGAGTACCCTTTTGATTCTTAGGGTTTCTAATTCGTTTTTCTTTTCCCTGAATGCAGTGCATAAGTGGTTCCATCACCAGAAGAACTAAGAAAATGTCTTTGAAATGCAAGCTGAGATTCCTGAATCCTGTTCATCTGGAAGTATCAGATAAAGTAGTTTTCCAGAGCTTAAAAAATTTGTAGAATTAATCTAGGTGAAGCCAATTCTGCTATGACCAATCCGATAGATTTGGAATTTTGCCCGTCTGAAAGCATTTTTTTCTTATCTTCAACTAAGAAACTTTTTATTACGTGCTTAAGTATCAAAGCGGTTGTAATTTAGAGGTCATTGGTGAATACATGTGCAAGATAAGTACAGATTGGATGTATGTGTTTCCCGTGTGTTAGGAAATAAAATTACATCAATGAAACTTGGTTTCTGATTTTTAAATTCCTACTATGAAGTACTGAATCTAGAAGGTATGGGTGTTTAGTGTTGTTTTCTATCAGTGATCTTGCAATTCAACTTCATAATAATTGGACTAAAACCAACCAACTTTAGAAACTAGAGAACAAAATCCCTAAAGTACTCTTGATGTGATGGTTTTACTTCACGTCCAAGCATCACACTGTAAAGCAAAATAAGTTTAAGATCTGAAGAGATAGTACAGTGGGCAGGATACTTCCCTTGTACTGGCCAACCCAGATTCTTTCCCCAGCACCACGTATGGTCCCCAAGCCCCGCTAGGAGTGATTCCTGAGCACTTCTGGGTGGAGTTCAAGTCCCCTCCACACACTAACCACCTGAAGTAAAACTTTAAGTTTATATTAGCAGAAATCACATGTTTGTAATCAGTTGAAGTCTAAAGTAATTTATAATATATTTTGAATAACATTGTGACTAACAGTTATAGGAGAGAATTTGGACCTGAATTTTGAGTCTTATTCACCTACTTATTGCTTTGTAATTTTTTTTTTGGGGGGGGTCACATGTTGGTGGAATTCAGGACTTAGTCCTGGCTCTTCACTCAGATCACTCCTGACAGGGCTCAGGGGACCATATGGGTGCCGGGATCACACCCCAGTCAGCTACATTCAAGAAAAGCGCCCTCCCCACTATACTATAGCTCCAGCCCAGCTGTGTAATCTTGAGTCAGTAATCAGCTCCCTCTTTTTTTTTTTTTTTTTTTTTTGGCTTTTTGGGTCACACCTGGTGATGCACAGGGGTTACTCCTGACTCTGCACTCAGGAATTACTCCTGGTAGTGCTCGGGGGAACATACGGGATGCTGGGAATCGAACCCGGGTTGACCGTGTGCAAGGCAAACGCCCTACCCGCTCCAGCCCTAGCACCCTCATTTTTAAAGAATTATTTATAAAATGCCATGTAATGAGCATTCAGAGTGCTTTAGTTGATATTTTAACAAAGGTCCTTTTATTTGCTTTGTTTTGGGGGGGTCACACCCAGTGATGCTCAGGGGTTACTCCTGGCTCATGCACTCAGTAATTACTCCTGGCGGTGCTCGGGGGACCATATGGGATGCTGGGAATCGAACCCGTGTCAGCCATGTTGGCTGCGTGCAAGGCAAAGGCCCTACCCGCTGTGCTATTGCTCCAACCCCACGAAGGTCCTTTTAGATTCACATTCTTTCATCTTGCCCAGTTTTCCCCCAAAGGTAGGATTTTGTACCTGTAGTGTAGCACCACAACTGTAACACTGTCTTGGATACGTTCCCCGGTTTTACTCAGTTTCCCCTGTGAAGGTGCCATGGAAGGACTGGACAGGTCTGTCTCCTGTCTCCGGAAGTTTTTGTGAGACAAACTTCTGCACATTAAGAACCTTTGAGGAGATGGCCAGAGCAATAGTACAGCGGGTAGGGCATATGCCTTGCTCGTGGCCAACCCAGGTTGATCCCCATCATCCCATATGGTCCCCTGAGCACTGCCAGGAATAATTCCTGAGCACAGAGCCAGGAGTAACCCCTGAGTATTGCCAGTTATAGCCCAAAAAAATAATAGTAGTCCCCCCGCGAGCGGCTCTCCAGCACAGCCACGGCCCCAGAAGCACAAGGACTTAATGCAGAACCCGGCAGCTTGGAGCAGAAAAGTGAAAGGACTATGCATTAATCCAGGCCATCATGTCTGTCCGGAGGGGAAAGGGTGTTGCCCCATTCGCCCTCTCCTCTCTGGAAAGAAAGATGGCGGCCACATGGGAGCCTTGTGGACAGCAGGTATGAGCCGGGGGTGTGGGGGCGACTAAAACCTCATGGGAAGGGGGGCGTTTCGGTCCGCCCTTCACGCCCTACCGAGGCCACCAGTTGCCCCCCACGAGCGGCTCTCCAGCACGGCCACGACTCCAGAGCACAGAAACCAATTTCTTAACTATCTGACTTTCAGTAGAAATACTTCCAGGGTCAATAGGTAAAATAGCAGAAATCCAAAACCAACATTTAATTCTTGAACCCAGCTGTAGAAAGCAAATCACTTCACAATGCTTTTTCAGCATGTCTGATTTGGGGGGGGGGGGGTAAACTCTAAATAATAGTGGTGAATCTTTTATTGAAGCAATGAATCTAATCAAAGCAGATAGAGCGTTAACTAGAATTCATCTGCCTCACAGGGACTGGGAGGGGTGGGGGGTGGGGTTTTATTGGGGTTCTTCATGGTAAAAAATAAGTATTGGTAAAGGGAAATGTGTTTGATATTTGCATGACTGAGACCTAAACCTGAAAGCTTTGTAACCTTTCCCACAGTGATTCAATAAATAAATAAAAAATAATAGTAGTAAGTCTTGAGTATAAAGTGGGTATTTGGAAAGGTCTCTTCCATCTCTGATGCTGGACCAAAGTTACTTATAGACAAGCGTCAAAAAAGAATTGCTTTTGGGGCTGGAGAGATAGCACAGCGGGTAGGGCGTTTGCCTTGCACGCAGTCGACCCAGGTTCGATTCCCAGCATCCCATACGGTCCCCTGAGCACTGCCAGGAGTGATTTCTGAGTGCAGAGCCAGGAGTAACCCCTGTGCATCGCCGGGTGTGACCCAAAAAGAAAAAAAAAATTGCTTTGAAGGGCAAAGGGTGATGACATGATTCTTCCATACTTCTTGAGACTGTAATTTCCTGTCAGGGACTTATTTTAAATACTGGGGGGATATCATGGAAGACAGGTAAGTTCACTTACCTGGCAGGTTGATTTATGCTCAGCCACGCCCCAAATCTCCATGGTTTTTTTTTTTTTTTGCTTTATGGGTCACACCTGGTGATGCAAAGGGGTTCCTCCTGGCTCTGCACTCAGGAGTTACTCCTGGCGGTGCTCAGGGGACCATATGGGATGCTGGGAATCGAACCTGGGTCGGCCGCATGCAAGGCAAACACCCTACCTGCTGTGCTATCTCTCCAGCCCTCTCCCTGGTTTCTTTCGGAGGACAAAAGTCTCAATCTGGGCCGTGGTCCCCAGGCTGGCCTCGCTGCTGCCTCCACGTGACCAGGTGCCTTCATCTCTGAGGAGAGGTTGAAGTCTTGCTATAGCCATGAGTCGCCTCTGGCCAAAGTGAAGTACCATGGGTGTTCTCTCACGCTGGCTGATGAAGCCTCACGGCCATGCCTCTAACAGAAATTCAGTCTCATTTTTGCATGTAAGGGAGCAGCGTGGAGGAGAGTGCCAGGTACTCGGAAGCTGATGTTACAGACCTCCTTTATGTCTCACCAGAAAAGGGGGCACAGAGACACCTCAAAGGCCTGAGCGCATGTTTGGCATGTGGGGAAATGGTTTGATCCCCGGTCCTGCGGGTGTGGTCCCCAAAATAACTGCAATAACAAATATGTTTAAATAGCTAAATATACACTCACCGTGTAGTGTATATAGTAAGTATATGTTTACAATAATATATATAAAGGGGCTGGAGCGATAGCACAGTGGGGAGGGCGTTTGCCTTGCACACTGCCGACCCGGGTTCGATTCCCAGCATCCCATATGGTCCCCTGAGCACCGCCAGGAGTAATTCCAGAGTGCAGAGCCAGAAATAACCTCTGGGCATCAGCCAGAAATAATCCCTGAGCATTGCCGGGTGTGACTCCAAAGGCAAAAAAAGCCAGTATATATAAAGTTCCTTAGAAGTAATTTGTTTGGTGCCAGTAAATGGTCGAAACAGCTTTCGCCCACTCATCTGACATTGGGACTGGGGGTTTGCGCACTATTCTACATCGTTTTTTTCATCTGTGCCATCATTGTTAATAGGTTCTTGTATTGGGTTTTTTTGGGGGGCGGGGCACACCTGGCGATGCTCAGAGGTTACTCTCTGCTCTGCCCTCAGGAATCATTCCTGGCAGTGCTCAGGGATTGAAAATGGAATGCCAGGGATTGAATTTGGGCTTATTGTGTGCAAGGCAAACACCTACCCACTGTACTATCCCTCTGGCCCCCATACACCGTCACTGTTAATGGATTTTTTTTTTTTTTTTTTTTTTTTGCTTTTTGGGTCATACCTGGCGATGCACAGGGGTTACTCCTGGCTCTGCACTCAGGAGTCACTCCTGGCGGTGCTCAGGGGACCATCTGGGATGCTGGGAATCAAACCCGGGTCGGCCGCGTGCAAGGCAGACACCCTGCCCGCTGTGCTATCTCTCCAACCCCGTTAATGGATTTTTAATTACCCACTAAGCTAATCACTTAGCCATTCCTGTTTAGTTAAACATTGGGTTTTAGTGTTTCAGTCTTTGTTATCATAGGTTATTTCCCCTCTTTGGGATTGTTCACTAAGGATAAATTTCCAGGGATACATTATTCCCTTTGAGTTTCTTTCTTTCTTTTTTTTTTTTGCTTTTTGGGTCACATCCTGGCGATGCACAGGGGTTACTCCTGGCTCTGCACTCAGGAGTACTCCTGGCGGTGCTCAGGGGACCAAATGGGATGCTGGGAATCGAACCCGGGTCGGCCGCGTGCAAGGCAAACGCCCTACCCGCTGTGCTATTGCTCCAGCTTCTGTGTATCTTTTTTGGTTAGGGTTTTTACCAGTGTTCAGTGCTGTATGAGATGACATTTTTTTTCTGTAAGCTTAGGATTCAAACTTGATTAAATAACTCAGGTTAAATTACTTAACCCCAACCAAAGAGATATTGGATATTAAGGTGGATAACTTGCACTCAGCACACCGGGGTCTCACCCCCAGCACCACGTCTGGTCCCTTGAGCACAGCCAGATGTGTCCCCCAAACTAAATTAAGTACTTAACCCATAGTTTTCGATTGCTAGTCTGCAGAGTTGTAGAAATTGCCATCCAGTTTGCAAAAAAGGTATTTTGCTGCTTTATATCCTATGCCTGTGTCCTGGTGCATTGCCCCTAAAGGTGTACATAAATTTTGTGTGGATTCCTGCATCTCTTTATTATTTTTTCCCGTACTTTGGAGCGATAGCACAGCAGGTAGGGCATTTGCCT